CGGTTAACTGTGGTTTTAAATAATTTTGTGGTCTTGCTGCCCTATCCCTTAGATCCCATAGGCTTTTGCTTTCCTTAAAAGTACCATACTATTTCGTGAAATGCCCTTTGTAAATTTATACACGACCCACAATACAAATTGTTATTTCAAAAGGATTTGACTAGAGAATCAATTTAGTCAGTCAAAACTTACTTGCCTTTCATTACCTCTGCTAACTTTCATCTGTTAGTCCATACTACCCTGTTCCCAAGGGCACAGGCAATGGGAAACCAAAACAGCAAGAACTGCCAAGAAAAATGGTTCAGACTGAAGCAAACAAGGAGCTAAGCACCTGCTTTTGGGCAACACTCACCTCACACGTGTGCTAACAAATGAACAGACTGCTCTAAATTACAGATTATTGTTGCCAAATTTCCCCTTTGCTGATGTTAGGGTAAACAGCCAGCTGTTCTGAATTAAACTCTCTAACCTGTTATCTGTAAGTAAAACTAAGGACTGCAGCATTTGCAAACCTCTGATCCTTTGGCACTACACCACATACGGAGGAGGCTCGCAAGAGCGATTTCTACCTCTACTTCTCTCAGTAGAAAGGCAGCATTCCATCTGAATGGAGCAACTTATCCACTTTGAGCACTGTCAAACTCATGTATTTTTACCTTATCCACTAATTATTAATACCTCCTTTATTTTCATCTCTCCAGTGAAAGCAGAGGAAGAGCACTCTGAATAGTTCAGCAAGGCCCACTGCCTCCCCAAGACGATCTTGGCTGTATGTTTTGAAGGTGGGGGGGGAGGCGGGCATTTGTTAACGCACCATCACCAGGACTGGAAGTGGGCACCAACTCTGGTTTGGCAGGACCCTGGGAAAGCATTTTGCTGGTGATGGCCAATAAACTGTTACCAGGGCTATTTTTCAACTGTGCACAGCAACCCAGCCCTCTGCTTGGGCCAGCAGCCCAGCTATGTCAATAATGATGGTGGTTCCTGCTGTGGTTGCACAATGGGGATGAGCGGATTTTAACGTCAAGGCAACTTTAGACATAGGTAGGCTTTTGTGAGCAAGCATGAGATTGATCATCTCTGGTGACTATGAGTTGCTGCAGGGCTCCAGCAATGCTGTTGTTGCTGGTGCAAGCATTGCAGCTGGGGTATGCCCTTCAACGAGCCACAGAGTGCCAATAAAATAAAACGCAACTCTAGGAAGGGAGGTCACTAACACTTCTTCATTGATGTGACTGTAGATCCTCCCAACAAAGACAAAACACACATGAGCGCAAGGTATGAGCCTCAGTTAGACCACTGAAAAGCTCAAATGGCAGCCTAATGGGCAGGCAAATCATTAAAGCATCGACTGATGGCAATAGATCACGGTGGCAGGAAGATATCTGGCTTCCCTCCCAACAATTTCCCCCAACACATCAGCATTCCTGCCTCCTAAACCAAGGTCAACGCGCCTAGAAATTCAGTCCCTCCTTGATGTACCTACCTTTCAATAGCTGTCCATATGTGAAAGGCTTTTGGTCTTGTTTCAGTCATTAGTCTATTTGCGCTCTTTCTTCCTGATTCTCTTCAGATTTCCTCAGTACTTTCAATATTCAACATGGCTTTCTAATGTATTACAAATCTTGCAATTATTTCAAGTATCCTTTCTCTATTTTCCGTTAACCTCCGTGCTTAGTCATCCAAGGAGCTCTATTGAGGCAAGTAACATTTCAGAAGGCACGTAGGCAAAAGGTTCAGTTGGTTCTTTAGCACCCAACACTTCAGTGTTAAATAAAATTTTAAAAATTTAACTGTCTAGAAAACTTAATTCACATATTAAGCAGTATTTTCGCATATGTCAGACCAAAATAAAGAATCAAAGTTTTCAACAATTTCCTTTCGGCATTGAAAGCTTTCCTAGATGCTTAGTTCATCCACTTGTTTGAGCGTCCTACCTGAAGGCAGCTCTGACCCATTCTGCCAATATCTCCACTGCAAATAGGGCAAGGATGCAGGCCCCAACTCCATCCCAACTACAATGTGAACACAATCCAGGCTGATTGCAATAATTTACTCCACAGCAACCACCCAGCCATAGCTAATCAGCCCCATCTCAACAACTTATTGATTACTGTAATTATTGGGATCATTTCTAAAGACTCAGTTTTCAACTTCAGGAGTACAAGGGCAATATCACTAATATTAAAAACACTGCAAAGTGGCACAGTAAAAGAGTGCAGGGTGCTCACTTCTGCGATATGATATATACTCTTGAAACACACAAGCATTTATATTGTTTGTACACTGCAGCAAAATCTGAAATTTATCTAATAGAATTACTGCACTACATCCAAAATCTTATATCTGGCTGAATTCCAGAGGTGAGAGGAGTGTGACCGCCTTGCCATTAAGGCAGCATTTAACCAAGCGTGTAACATTAAAGTGCCCAAGCAAAACTGAAATTGATGGGAATGGAGGAAAACTTCGCCACTGGCTAAGTCATAACCAGCACAAAGGAAGCTGACCCTGGCTGTTGGAGGCCAATTATCTCAACTTCAGATCATCATTGATTTAAAATACCTATTGAGGAACTCCTGCAATGTGTTCAGACGCATGACGATGTATCTGGGACAGGTAGGATCTTGAGTCCAGATCTTCTGGACCAGAAGCAGGGGCACACCACCACACAAGAACCACTAATGGTTCCTCAGTACACTGGTCTTAGATACAACCATCTTCAACTGCTTCATAATAACATTTTCTCAATCATAAAAGATCAGAAGGAAGGATATTCATTAATGATTACAATAGTCAATACCATTCTTAACCCCTCAAATAAAATAGCAGATAAGAAGCAGCAATCACAAGGAACAGCACCACCGACAAAATGCTTGCCAAGTTACCATCACCTTAAATTGGAACTATATCACCATTCCTTCGTAGTCACTACATTAAAAAGACTACAGCTACACACAACAGACTCAGCAGTTCAAGCCACTACAGGAGCACCATATTTTCAAATGCAATTGGTAGTATGTTATAATTCAGTCAGAGTCAAACTTGTTGTGATAACATGAACTTTTACATGCAAGTTATAATCTGAAGCTATGGATAGTGGTGGTCATAGCTCTAACTTGCTTTCCATCACAGGGTGACAACAAATCTCTCCCTCTTACCATTTGCCATTGGTGTGTGTCGTAAGGTTTTGCATGTTGATAATCGTGATGAACACAGCTTCCTTGACAAGGTCTGTGGTCGAACTCTAACCCAGAGCTTCTGACTCAGAGGAAAGGACAGAGATAACAAGGTGTACAGCTGGATGAACACAGCAGGCCAAGCAGCATCAGAGGAGCAGGAAGGCTGACGTTTCGGGCCTAGGCCCTTCTTCAGAAATCGGCTGAAGGACACTTCACTTTAAGACCTCCCATGAGCAAATTAAGTGACAGGCAATGAATGCCGACTCCCTATATCCCAAGAAATAAAAATATCCTTATTATAAATTCTGATGTGCGTGTTGAGGTTGATTGGCTCGCCGAGCTGGTTTGTTGTTCCGCAGACGTTTCGTTACCATGCTTGGTAACATCCTCAGTGCAGCCTCTGATGAAGCGTCGGTGTGTTTCCCTGCCTGGCTTTTAAACTCTGGGGTCCGTTGCGATGGACTGCCTCACTTCCAGGTTTCCTCCGTAGTGGAACGTGTATGGGGTCGAGTTCAATGTGTTTATTAATAGCCTGCTTCGTGGAGTGCCATGCTTCCAGGAATTCTCGTGCTTGTCTCTGCCTAGCCTGTCCCAGGATCTTGGTGTTGTCCCAGTCGAAGTGGTTCTCCTTGTCCATGTGGATTGAAAGGAGTGACTATTGGTCGTGTCTTTTTGTAGCCAGTTGGTGTTCATGTACTCTTGTTGTTAGTTTCCTTCCTGTTTGTCCGACGTAGTGTTTCTCGCAGTCTCTACAAGATCCCTTGCAGATGACACTGGTCCTGTCCATGGCGGGGAGTGGGTCTTTAGTTCGGGTGAGCACTTGTCGTAGGGTTGATGTGCATGCTTATAGTGTAGGCTTTTCAGACAGTAATTACATCCTTCTGCCAAAATTGAGGCTGTAACACATCAGCTTTGCGTTTTCTAGCCCCTCCACTCATACTGCTGAGAAACAGCTTTGATACAATCTCTCGGCTTTCAAAATTTCTAAAAACGTTGCTATCTACAATAATGTTTAGTTTGTCTGGACTATTTTGATTTGGTTGGTTGGTTTTAGAGGTGCCTTCATTGTTGAGTGATGCCTGACATGATCACAAACTTAAGCCGCATAAAGGACTGGAGCGCGTGACACAAACGATACAACAGAAAGCAGTGGCAACAGAATAGAAAGAACAAAAACAGAAGGTTCAGGGAATGCAAAGTTATCCCGGCTGGAGAGATTGTTTTTGAGAAAACAGTGTTGATTCAAAGTATGGTAAGTCTACAACTTAAAACTTCCACACCATCAAACTTCAAAGGGCATGCCATAGTATAAACTTAGATTCAAGAAATGGATAAGTACAAGGTTACAAAACTTGAGTTCCAATCTAGGAGATTGTTATGGAACACAAATCTGCTGTTAGGAAGCTTCTTTTTTGCTATGAAAGATGCTGAAATTAAAATAGGAAAATTTCCTCAAATAATACCAAAGTCCATCAGATACAAATCGGCCTTTCCAATTCAGGACACAGAAGTTCCTAATTAGATTTTCATATTCTACTGTGGATATTTCCTGGTTTAGCTATAAATAAAGTATCATAAAAAGTTTAGATGACTTAAATGAAGGAATGAACTTTCCCTGTCAATTCTTGTTCAATTACTCTCTTCTACCCATCCTGATTATAGCTCAGCTTTATTTCTCTATGCTACACATGGGAAAGCGTGGAAAATGAAATTAGTATATTAAGGCACAGCTAGTGCCTTATCATATCAATGTTTCACACGAGAATTAACTTGCAAACAATTAACCGTTACAGGAAAGCAAAGAACAGGCACGTCTCTGACCTTTAGTCTCTGGTTATAAGCATCAAAAAGTAGTTTGATTCCGTCCTGAGTGAGATTAAGGATGAGGTCATGGCTGAGTGGCGACTATAAAGAAAAGAAAATACTATTAAAGAATGAAGCAACAACATCATACATAACATTTGTTGAATTACATGCAAATTGTTGCATTTAAATTCTTGAATGATCGCTCTCATTAAAACCTAGGAACTCAAAGATGACCTAGAAAGAACATCAATTACAAATCACTGCAGCTATCTGCATTGCAGCAATAATGAGTATTTCTTTTTACTTTCAGACTTGAGTCGTGGGAAACTGTGGCAAGGCAGCACACAATACCTGTCTCTAGCTGCTGAGGTGGCAGAAACTCACACGATACCGGCCTGGTGGAGTGGTGCATGAGTTGGAAGGGAGGGAGGTTGCAGATGATATTCCCATGTCAAAAACACTTTTGCCCAGTGGATGCCAGAGAGTGGGTGCAAGAGTAAGTCTGTTGAATGAATCTAGGTGCAGTGCCTAAATTTGCTGCGTAACCTAAAGACTACATATTCTGTACCTTTGGCAATAGAGATTTGCATTTTAACACCAGAGTTGAAAAAAGTCAATGAAGCAGGCTTTAAGCAGCTTAATATCACATGCACCCATCAGATCAGGAGTGGCAAGCCTTGAGCCTTTAAAAATTATCAAAGCTTTGACTTGTTATGAAGGAGCACACAGTGTAATTTCACGTATCCTGCTTGGTGTTGGTCTGGTTATATTTCTGTTCAATACGTAGCTGGGCTCTCTTGCCCAAAATTGTGTGCTATTTGAGACAGATAAATCTGACGGAACAGTTGATGTGACAGATATGGTGGATATAGGAAATGCAATGTATATGGGCTGCCAGAAGCCCCTGACAATACCATAGGAGCCATTTAAGACTGAATACTTTAATTTGGAAAAGGCTAGCAAATTGGATTTGAAGGGTTGAAAGAGTAGGAATCATTTGCAATTGTTTTAGTGTGCGTACAAAGTAAGATTTCTGTTCTGGGATGGTTTAAAGTTCACTCTCCACATCAATGATGAGTTTCTAGAAGCTTAGGGATTCACATTTGCAGATATTAAAATTGCAATTAGAATCATAATTCTGGGAACTGAAAAGGAAAGAGGTGAATTGGTAGAATAGACATTTAGAGCGGCACGGTGACTCAGTGGTTAGCACTGCTGCCTCACAGCACCAGGGACCTAGGTTCGATTCCACCCTCAGGTGACTGTCTGTGTGGAGTCTGCACATTGTCCCCATGTCTGCATGGGTTTCCTCCCACAGTCCAAAGATGTGCAGGCTAGGTGGATTGGTCATGCTAAATTGCACATAGCGTTCAGGGATGTGTAGATTAGGGGGAATGGGTCTGGGTGGGATGCTCTGGCTGGACTTGTTGGGCCGAAGGGCCTGTTCCCACACTGTGTAGGGATTCTATGAAAGACAAGAACACAGCAAACAGAATACTATTGGCCAATAATCTTTTTGTACAGTACCACCTCTATAAGCCATAAATACGAGCCAGCCACTAACATAGCCAAGATGAGTAGAAAATAGATCATGCTATCACAAGCAGCAGCTAAGCTATAGCCGAGATTCAGTTAAGGGCAACCTAGATAGGAATATGAAGGAAAAGGCTTGTGCTGATAAGGCTCAATAAATGGGCAAGGGGAAGCTTGTGTACAGTAACAACACACAGCAAGACAAAAACACAAGTAGAAAACACTGAAACTATCCTTACAACAGCTAGCACTTAGACAATACCCTTAATATTCACAGTGGCACAATTAACCAAATACAACATGGACCCACACAGGGAGATACTAAAGCAAGTCAAAAGGTTCAAAGAGGTAGGTTTTACAGAGAGTCATAACAGGAAAGAGAGAGATGTAGGGAGGCAGTCCCCAATATTAGGCACCTGAAGGAACAGCCATCAAATGGTGAAGCAAGTAAAACCTGGAATGCGCAAAAGGTCAGAATTGTAACATACCAGATACCTTACAGGATTGTAGAGCTGTACTAAGAGACCGTATAATAAACTATCAAATGGATTTTGAAACAAGAGTGAGAATTTTAAATACACAGCATTGATGGACCATGAAACAATGTAGGTCTATGACAACAGGGGTGATGGGCAAATAGGATCTGGTGAGAGTTAGAACATGAACTCTTCTAAATCTCTGTCCAAGTTTGGAGAGGTTGGAAGTCAATCAGGAAAACATTGGCGGCAGGTGGGGTGTGCGTGCGTGCGTAGCCAAAGAAGTGCAGATGTTGGAAATCACTGTAAAACATACTCAGTAGGTCTGGCAGCATCTGTGGTGAGAAAGCAGGGTTAAAGTTTCATGTCCAGTGACCCTTCTTCAAAACAAGGGATGTTGGAATTGTTAAGTGTACAGGTAACTAAGGCATATATAATGAAATTAAATTCAGACAGGGTAGGAGATAAGCGATGTTATAGGAAGTGCAAGTAGGCATACTTGATGACGGAGCAAATTTACAATGCATTTCTTACATTATCTCAGTTGAAGCACAACTTTTTAAAATCATGCTTTAAGTCATCCCTCCTAATATTTTTGGTAATTTTAATTTTATTATGCAACAATTGAGCAGTTATTTTCTTACATTATTGTCCAAAGCAACTGCAATTTATTCTTGGGTCAATCTGTTGGGCCTCCTCAAACATTGCAAAGGCATAAAACAAGACAACATTCCAAATGATGCCTAACCAAGGTCCAATGCTAGAACTGCATTGTGTTATAATCAGACTTGTCCTGTATTAATGCTTCTTGTCAGTCACTCAAATTAATTTGGAAGTAACAATAAGTTTATCTTAGCATCATTTCCCTTGTGTAACAGCATGGGGTTGTCAGCCTTCCATGAGATGTACATGCTTAATGTTAGTTATAACCACCTATAAATAGGGTGACAATAGCATGTTTGAACACCTGAGCATATCCACTGATACCTTGCCTATTGTGCTTGGCCGATTCATGCTTGGAACAATGCTTCCATAAATTGTTTACAGATCAAACCTAGGCTAGTCCTACAGATAATTCAGCTATCTTGAAGTTAGGCAAATATCCATTTTAAACAAATAGCACCAAGACTATGATAAAATAGAATACTGTTTCCCCTAATTTGTTGGCAAAAGTCTGTTCATACCCAGACATGCTTCTGTGATGGGAAGTGGAGGATTAGTCTCAGCTGTCATATTCTATTCCACACCAGTCAAAACACCACCTCTCAGGAGAAATGGTCACTAGGATGAAATGTTGAAAGACATAGAAAGCTTGGATAATTTTCATTATTAAAATAGATGTCAAAAGTTCAATTTAAAAAACAACACTGCCAGGAATACATAGCACATCTAACCAGAACCGCAAAGGAAGAAAAATAAGTTAAAATTAATGTTTCATTAACCACAAAATATCTTCAAGGATACTGATGGAACTCGTAGGCAAGTTAAATTTTTGGACTTTATTCCAATGTCTGTGGGGTTATTTCTTAAGGGGAAAATCTCAATTCAGCTATTCGAACAAGTGAATACTTTAGACAAGTTCAACTGAAGACCTACTGGGCAGTCGGCCAGCAAATTAACTGCCGCTTTCCAGTCTAATCCGTATGGACTAATGCCAGGAGAACAAGGTACAAACCAGCTTCCTTATATATAGCTGTTAACCTTGGACATTCTGAATGTAACTGGAAATATCAATATTTAAATACAAAATCAAACTCTCCCAGTTCAGGAAAGCAATTCCATTAGTAAATTAGTGGCAGGTCAAAGAATGCTACACTTTGCCATTACTCTCTTACTTAGACAGGAATCAGACAGAATTTCACAGAAGTTTCTCTTTGCGCCCCATTTCACTCATAACGGCATTATTTTTAAACATCATGCTGGACAGCGAATGTGAAATACTGACCAGTAAATAGAGCAAACGTGATAATGTTAATAGAGACATGCAGTGAAGATTTATACTAGAATGTTATTATTTAGAAACTTGGGTATCAAATAAAGCTAACTGGCTTTTGGGTTTAATCCTGTGAAGGTAACTTTAAAAGATTAGAAACTCTTCTGGCTTTGGTTCAAATCAGCCTTTCCAATAAATCATATGATTCAGTTTAAATACCACCTAAATGGGATAATTGCTGAAGTATTCTTCAAGTTATAATTTACAACTCAAAGGACAGATGAAAAAAAGCACACAAGCCAGTCCGGTTCAGGAAAGAAAGATTCATATTAACAGAAGGGTAGGTTAGTTTTGGAAGTCTCCTGGCCATTAGAGCTGGAAAAGAAATCTCAAGAGATTTCAGCAATCCAAGGATTGGGGAAAGCTGAGCTTTCCTTAGAATTCGACAAGTTTGCTCATACCTTTGCATCACAGGCAAGAGACGGTAACAAGGAGAATCATATCTGGTGAAGGGAAGCTGCCTGAAACCTTGTCAGTTGAACAAACAACTTCAGCGAGAAGATAGGAGTCAGACGTCACTATGGTAGTGTGTTTGCAAAGGATACTGCTGGGGAAGAAGGATTTAATCTCTTTGCTGTTTATTGCAAATTATTTGTTTTAGTGTCTTTTTCTCTTACGTGTAAATTTACATTTTGTTAAAATGCATTGGCACCCTCTTGTAAATATGTCCAGTGGTTGACCACCATGACAATCAAACTGCAAAAGTAAAGCTTAGGTCTCACACCAGAATCTCATTTGCACAGTATCAACATCTGGAGTTATCATACATGCCCTTAAGAGAGTGCAAAATAACACTATAAAACTGAATTGAAAGAAATGCTGCTTCCATGAATGGGAAGCAGAGGTTGATCTCACTCACCTGCTCGCTGTAAAGAACCTGCACGTTTTTGATGATACGACAATGCTTTTGGAGAATAGCAACACCCTGAGCCAATGGCATTCCTGAAAAAACACCATGTAGAAGAATCAGCTTGTAACCTGGACTTTTCATCTAGACACTTGTTTAACCACTAGGAAGCTACTTAAAAATTATATTTGATTATTTTAACACACTGCACAAATTAAGCTCAACCAGACAAAGAAAGATAGCAGGGGCCAGGGGATAAAAAGTGGAGGAAAAAAGAAACACGAAAAAATCTTGCAAATCAATACAAGCCAATCACAAAGTCCCAGCCAGTTTGCACAGTAGGTCCAAGGGGCTATGGAGGTAAACAGGGACAAAAAGTAAACAAAGGGATCGAGCAGGAAAGACAATAGATTTAGGCAAAACAATAAGACTTATGGACAGAAAGTTTAGTTGCGTAGGTTATAAAATGCTCATTTCTGAAATTAGCACTTTCATTGTCATTTTAAAAAAATCTAACAGAATTCCCTTAAAACTGCCATTGGATGATCAAGGTTTAACAGAAATAATATACTCATCACATGAATACAGAATGAGGGCAAAGGTCAATATTTTAACTTCTGAGGCTCTCAGTGTTGAACAATGACAGTTGAGCAATATAGTGTATTTCCATATTGCTTACAGGCATTAGATGCAGATCAAAGCTTCGGTTTTCTGCCCAGCAGTACCTACGGATCAGTTCAGAATAGCAACTACTGCTGCACTAGAGTCATACAGCATGGTAACAGATTCTTCAGTCCAACCAGTCCATGCCAAACATAATCCCAAACTAAACTAGTCCCACGTGCCTTCTTCTAGCCCATATCCCTCCAAACCTTTCCTATTCATGTATCCAATGACTTTTAAATGTTGTAATTGTACCCATATCCACCACTTCCTCAGGAAGTTCATTCCACAAGCAAACCACCCTGTGTAAAAAATTTGGCTCATGTCTTTGAAACCTCTCTCCTCTCACCTTTAAAAAGGTGTCCCCTAGTCTTGAAATCCCCATCCTAAGGAAAAGACAACTAGCATTAACAATCTATACCTCTCATTATTTTATAAGCTTCTATAAGGTCACCTCTCAACCTCCTATGCTCCAGTGTAAAAAGTCCCAGTCAATCCAGCCTCTCTTTATAACTCAAACCTTCCATACCTGGAAACATCCTGATAAATCTCTTCTGAAACCTCTCCAGCTCAATAATATCCTTCCTATAACTGGGCAGCCAGAACTGGACATAGTATTCCAGATAAGGCCTCACCAATGCCCTGTACAATCTCAACATAACGTCCCAACTCCTATACTCAAAGGACTAAGCAACGAAGGCAAGTGTGCCAAACATCTTTTTAACCAAACTGTCCATACGTGACACAAACTGCAAAGAATTATGTACCTGAACCCCTAGGTCCCTCTGTTCGACAACACTACCCAAGGCCCTACCATTACTTGTATAAGCACTACCCTTGTTTGTTATACCAAAACGCAATACCTTACATTTATTCAGATTGAACTCCAGCTGCCATTTTTCAACCCATTGACCCATTTGATCAAGATCCCTTTGTAATCTTAGAAAACCTTCTCCACTGTCTACTATTCCACCAATTTCGGCGTCATCCGCAAACTTACTAACCATGCCTTCTATATTTTCATCCAAATCATTTATAAATGACAAACAAAGAGGACCCAGAACCAATTCCTGTGGAACACTGCTGGTCACAGGCTTCCAGTTTGAAAAGCAACACTCCACCATTACACTGTCTCCTGCTGTTAAGCCAATTGTGCATCTAACTGGCAAGCTCACCCTGAATCTCATGTAACCTGACTTTAATGAATTAGTCTATCATATGGAACCTTGTCAAAGGCTGTAGTAAAGTCCAAGTAAACAACATCTACTGCTCTGGCCTCAAAATTTGGCAAGTTTGAGAATCTTCCTTGCACAAAATCATGCTGACTACCCCTAATCAATCTTTGCCTCTCAATGCCCATAAATCTTATCTTTTATATGCTCCTCCAACAGTTTACCCACAACTGAAGTCAGACCACAAGACTGGAGAAGAAGGGGGAGGATTCAGTTCTTGTGGTCCACATAGGTAAGAGATCCAGTTTGGGGAATATCAGAATTGAAGAACAGAATTTAAAACAGGACCTCAAAGGTTGTAATTTCTAGACTAATACCTGAGCCATGTGCAAATTGGTAAAGACACAAGATTACAGAAGTAAACACATGATAAAGGAATGGGATGGGAAAGGGAGGTTCCATTTTGTGGGGCACTGGCATCAGTATTGGTACAGGAGGAAACTGTGCAATTGGGTCAGACTCCATCAGAACTGATCTGGGGCCAGGATCCCATTGGAATGGCTAAACAGGGTGGTATTAAAGACTTGAAACTCATTAAATAGGGAAGGCGGGGTGGGGCTGGGGGGTGCCCAGGACAATTTATTAAAGTTTCCACAAGTAATCGGACACTGTATGTAAAGGGTTGGGAGTCCAATTTCAGACACAGTAGATATGGGGAAAACTATGAGATGGGTGCAGTCAATGCAGGACTGAGATTGTTGTGCTTAAAAGTGCGCAGTATACAAAACAAGATTAAAAGTACACAGATTGAAATTAGTGGGTACGATGTTGTGGGCGTCACAGATGTGGCCGCAAGTGGACGAGGGCCGAGAGCTAAATATCTAAGGATTCACATTCTATCAGGAGATGGGCAGAGTGGACTGGGTTGACTTGCTAGTAAGAAACTAAATTAAATTGATAGCCAGAAGCCAAATAGGGTGGCCAGGCATAGATCCTGTGGATAGAGCTGAGAAACCAAAAAAGGGAGAAAAAGACTGTAATGGGAGTTATGTACAGGCTCCCTAGCATTACATGGAAGATAGAACAGAACTGCATTGAACAGGCCCTTTGGCCCATGACTGTGCCAATGATGCCATTCTAAACTAATTCCATTTATATGCACATGATCCACATTTATCTAGATGGTGTGTCTGTCTAAATGCCCCTCTGGCTTCCTCCCACAGTCCAAAGACGTGCAGGGTAGGTGGATTGGCTATGCTAAATTGCCCATAGTGCCCAGGGATGTTTGGGTTAGGTGGGTTAGACATGGGAAATACAGGGGTAGGGGAATGGGTTTGGTTGGGATGCTGTTCAGAGGGGCGGTATGGACTTGTTGGGCCGAATAACCTGTTTCCACACTGTAGGGATTCTATGAATTCTATGAAAATGTTGCTACCATATCTGCTTCTACCACCTCCCCAGCCATCTCCCACCCTTAGTATAAAAAAAACCTTGCCTCACCCATTTCCAATAAACTTTCTCCCTCTCACCTTAAACCCCATGACTTCTAGTTGTGGATCGAGTTGTGAATAGTGCGGAGGGCTGTTCTACGTTACAAAGGGACATTGTTAGGATGCAGAGCTGGGCTGAGAAGTTGCAGATGGAGTTTAACCCTGAAAAGTGTGAGGTGATTCATTTTGGAAGGACAAATCTGAAAGCAGATTACAGGGTTAATGGAAAGATTCTTGGCAGTGTGGAGGAGCAGAGGGATCTTGGGGTTCATGGCCACAGTTCCCTGAAAGCTGCCACCCAGGTGGATAGAGGTCTTAAGAAGGCATATGGTGTGTTAGCTTTCATTAACAGAGGGATTGAGTTCAAAAGCCGTGAAGTTATGTTCCAGCTATACAAAACGCTGGTTCGGCCACATCTGGAGTATTGTGTCTAGTTCTGGTCGCCTCATTACAGGAAAGATGTGGAAGCGTTGGAAAAGGTGCAGAGGAGATTTATCACGATGTTGCCTGGAATGGAGGGAAGGTCTTACGAGGAAAGGTTGAGCGCGCTAGGGCTTTTCTCTTTAGAACGACGAAGGATGAGAGGTGACTTCATAGAGGTGTACAAAATGATCAGAGGTATAGATAGAGTAGACAGCCAGAGACTTTTTCCCAGGGTGGAGGTAGCTATTACGAGGGAGCATAGTTTTAAAGTGAGTGGAGGTAGGTATAGGGGAGACGTCAGAGATAGGTTCTTTACTCAGAGTGGTAGGAGTGTGGAATGCATTGCCGGAGAGGGTAGTGGAGTCAGCCTCATTAGGAGCATTTAAGTGGCTATTAGATAGGCATATGGATGATAGTATAAGGTAGGGGTGGAGGTTAGGTTTAGGGTAAGAGTTTGGCACAACATCGTGGGCCGAAGGGCCGGTACTGTGCTGTACTGTTCTATGTTCTACTATTTGACATTTCCACCCTGGGGAAAAAAAGACTCCAACTATCCGTACCTCAATTTTATAGACAGTACTTCTGTCACATAGCCCCTCAGCCTTTGATGCTCTAGCAAAAACAATCCAAGTCTGTTCAACCTCTCTTTGCTAACACTCCAATGCTGGCAACCCCTGACAAACCTCTTTTACACCAAAGCCTCCACACCCTTCCTATAGTGTGGCAACTAGAACTGCTCATAATATTCCAAATGTGGCCTAAAGTTTAATCCAGCTGCAACATGACTTGCCAGCTTTCATACTCAATGCCTCAACCAATGGAAGCAAGTATGCCATATGCCTTCTTGACCACTTTATCCACTCGTGTTGCCACTTTCAAAAAGCTGTGGACTTGCACCCCAAGATCTCTCTGTATATCAATGCTCTTACGGGTCCTGCTATTTACTGTGTGTTTTGCTCTTGTATTTGACTTCTCAAAATGCATCACCTTATTCAGATTAAATCCATCTGCCAATTTTCTGCCCAACTTTCCAACCGATCTTTATTCTGCCGCATTATTTTACAGCCTTCCTTACCAACCAAAACCCCAGTTTTCATGTTACCTGCAGACCAAAATTTTCATCCAATTCATTTATGTAAATAAGTTACAAACACAGAGGGCCCAGTACTGATCCTTGCAGAACATCACAGGCCATTTTTCTCTGACTGAAGTACGTCTCTTCACAACAACTACTGTGTCTTCTATGAACAAGCCAATTTTGCATCTAACTTACCATGGATCCCAAGTGACAATCTTCTGGACCAACCTATGATAGACCTTGTCAAATGTTGAGCAAAGTCCATGGA